CAAAATCGATGGGGAGTCGAGTGAGGTGGAAAGTTCCAAGTTTCTAATCATGGCTTTGTCTTTCTGGTAACTAGCCCCCATCCTGAAGTTATCCAGAAACCCACCAAGAGCTGCCCCTTTAGAACAAAAGACTATTACTCAAGAAATTCCAAGGGATTTGAGAGCTTTGTGTCAGGAACTGGGGTCAAAGTCCAAAAATTAGTATAAAAGATTCTCCCAGTCTCTTAAGACTTAAGAAATTACAAGGGTAGAAGGAGCTCTGTGCCAGGAAGTGAAGAGAGACCAATATATGTATATGCTATTGTTTTATACCCTGGTTGAGTCAGTAGTTGGGGGTGGGTGGGGGCAATATTGTCACCCTGCCTGTGCTCAGGTTGGCCTCGTCCCTCTTCTGAAAGCACAGCTTGTATGAGGTGCTCTTCACCATAGAACTACTCTGTAGATTCCATCAGTCATTCCCTCCTCTTGCTCCTCAGGCTCAGAGAAAGTAAGTGAACCTACTGTTTCTTGCCCCAGTGTCCTTAGCCCTCCTTGCTGGTTTCTTTAAATGCCACCACCTCTGAAAGCAGGCCTCGCGCAGGCTCTCCTCCATGGACCAGGTTGGGCCTGTACACCTTTGCTTTCTTGCTGGGACTCTGGTTCACACAGACAAGTTATCCCACTTCTCTCCATCTCATTTTTATCCTTTATGAGTAGAGGTAATGTCTGTCCACAGAGCTGTGGGGACAGAAGTGCCCGGGATCCTCCTCGCAGTAGGGCTCCAGGAATGTTAGCTCCTTCCTAATCAGTCATGGTGCCTCATCTGGACAGTGCACCCCATGAAGAGCAGGGATAAGGGGTCAGTATGAGGATAATCCTAACAGCGGACATTTATGGAGTGATTAACCATGTGTCAGGCAGGATCCTGAGCACCAATATGTTTTATATCACATAAGCTTGGCCGGAGCCGTGCTCCCTGGGGAGGGAGGGTGCCAAAGGAGAGGTAAAGGAGGCCAAAGGCCAAAGGGCAAAGGCAAAAGCCTACAGCACCCAGTATTCCCAGGTGGTCTCCCATCCAAGTACTAACCAGGCCCGACCCTGCTTAGCTTCCAAGATCAGATGAGATAGGGCGCATTCAGGGTGGTATGGCCGTAGATGCCATTACAAGCTTATGAGATAATTATTATCATAAACCCTTTTTATAGGTGTGGCACCTGAGGCACGAGAGGAAAGGAATATGCTCGAGGTCTCTCAGGGAGTGAGTGGTAGAGTTGGGATTTGAATCCGCAAAGTGGGACTGTAGAGCAGAAGCTTTCACCATAGGGCTATACTTCAGAAGGTCCTCCTTGGCAGGAAGCAGGGCCAAGAGGGATTCAGGTTGGGGCCTCTGAGGCTGCAAACCTGTGAGCTAGTTTTTGGTGAGCAGTTGACGGGAGTGATGGTGTTCCAAAGCCACAGCTGACCATGGTACAGGCTATGGAACCTGTGCAAGACAGGCTCTTCTGGGCCACAAGGCCAGTTTTGCAGGCTGGTAACTTTCAGTGGCATAGTGGGGTTTACACTCTTGCTTTGGACTTTACCCTTAGTGGCTGCTTTACTCTTTGGATTTTAAAGTTTGGACAAAACATCTTGCCAGACTCTGTAGGGTGGACTGTCTCTGGAACAATTGGAATTTCATCTGTTTTATGCTGGTCTCTTTGGAACCTCCTCTGTTAGACTGATAATTTTCTAGCTTACTTCAGCCTGTTTATTTTCCTATGGTATTAATGGTATTTTCCAATATGGTGAACCGAAAGCAGCTAAGTAAAGGGGGCAAACACGACAGAAGTCTGGGCTTCTAGCCCGTGGCTCTATCTCCACCCATGGGTACAGTTCACTAAAAGTTTCTCCCCTACTAAACAGTAGTTCAGTAGGGGCAGGTCTGTATTATCACTGCTGTCCCCTCAACTTGCACAATGCCTGACACATAATTGGTGCTCAATTAACGTTGTTACAGGACTGGATGAATGAACAAACAAATCACACACGATAATTGCCATAGTATGGAGTTAAATCCCTGGCACGTGGGAGATAATTCTTGTCTTCTGACCTTTCCTCAGGCATTCAACCACTGTTAAGTAGAGCTCCAGTGCAGCTACTCTTGCTAGGGATGATCAGAGTTTCCCCTGAGGTTTTTTTCTGTTCAAGAAGCTACTGTAGGGGGCGCCTGGGTGGCGCAGTCGGTTAAGCGTCCGACTTCAGCCAGGTCACGATCTCGCGGTCCGTGAGTTCGAGCCCCGTGTCGGGCTCTGGGCGATGGCTCAGAGCCTGGAGCCTGTTTCCGATTCTGTGGCTCCCTCTCTCTCTCTGCCCCTCCCCCGTTCATGCTCTGTCTCTCTCTGTCCCAAAAATAAATAAACGTTGGAAAAAAAAAAAAAAAAAAAGACTGCACTACCGTTTAAAAAAAAAAAAAAAAAAAAGAAGCTACTGTATATCTGGTGTACAACATCGCTTAGCTGGTGTCATGTGTGAAGCTACCAGGAAGTGCCTAGATGGCTTTAGTTCTCAAAATGATATGTGCATCTTGAGTGGAAACAGGAGGGAACCTATATTTATTGAGCCCTGCTATGTGCTGGGTATGATTCATAGTCACAGTGAGAAGGGGATCTCTCATGCCAGTTCTGTGGATTGAGAAACCAAGGCTGGAGAGACCAAGGGACTGGGCCAAGGTCATGTAGGGAAGATCTGATAAAGCTGGAAATGATCCCTGTTGAAGCTGAAATTCATGCTTCTTTGGGTGCGTAATCCTGGTGAGAGCTGAGAGGTGCTATCGGCTTACGTAGGGCAAGTGCCTTCATGCCTTCTTTATTTTTGTGTTCTTTAGGGGCAGGATGCTGGTACGTCTTGTCCTCCACCACCTTCAGAAATCAATGCCAGTGAAATCTACTTTGTGGAACTGGTTAAAGAAGATGGGACACTTGGATTCAGCGTGACTGTAAGAATTATTAGGCAAGCTCGGGAAGTACACAGTTGAAAAGATGTTCATCTGTAGCCTTGGTGGGCATTCCACTCATATAGCAACCTCTGATAATGTGGTCCTGGGTACAAGAAGCACACGAGAAGTGGTGAGCCAAGAAAGTCAGTGGGGCCTCCGTTAGGGTGGGGCTAGGAGTTCAAAGACAAACTGGGAGATTTAGGATGATCAGGCACTCCAAGCAGTGCGGGTGGGATTGGGTGATGGGGTCCTGACTCTGTGGTCATGCTGTACAACCAGGAAGGCGCAGCAGAGTGGGGTTGCAGGGACATAAGCTGAAGGTGAGTGGGGGTGACCCATGGTCATCCAGAGCAGCGTCACGGTGAAGCTTGGTGTTCCCGCTTCCAAGGACAGAACAGAGTCACCTTGACCAGAGTGGGGTCCAGGGTGATCACTTTGCACTGGCTTCTAAGCTCTATCTGCAGACCCTGGAGGGGAAAAAAAACTGCACAAAAATGATATACTCCCACTGCTGGATATGTGTGTGAAGAAATCAGAAGAAAAGATAAACTTAGATCTTCATCTCGTGACCTGTAGGGATGTTCGCGATCTATTGTTAAGTTAGAAAAACAAAAGTAAGTTATAGAACACTGTGTAGTTAATTCTAAGTTTGTACCTACAAATCAAAATTCAAGCACACAGGATGTGTCAGGCCTGCCTTTGGGCCTGTGGCTGCATCCATGTATGCTGTTTGCTACTTATGGAGAGATGATGTGGCGCGTTGATGTGACTTCAATTTCTGAACACCTGCCATGGGTCAGTCCTGGGCTGGGTGTGGGGCACAGCTCCCTCATGCTGGCTGTGTTGTTCTACTCCTTTTGGGCATCTAACCTTGCTGCACAGCGAATAATGTAGTCTGGACGAACAAGTCACATGGAAATGAGGTATTGGGATAGAGTGTCAGGCAGATGGGGGAATCTCTTAGGGAGGTTGGGGAGGCTCTTTCAGGAGGGGGCAGACAGGTGGTGAATTTTTCATTGTGTTTTCCAGGGTGGCATTAATACAAGCGTGCCCTATGGGGGTATCTACGTGAAATCCATCGTTCCTGGAGGGCCAGCTGCCAAGGAAGGGCAGATCTTGCGGGGTAAGGGACGGAGTATGTTGGGAACTGCATTGAGTCATGTGATGAGCCCTGGCCTGGGGGGTACAGCCTCCAGGCCTTGACTCACTCCCACCCTAGACTTTGTGCAAATGATGGCCTCTCCAGGTCCTGGTTTCCTCACCTGGGAAAGGGGCTGATGTAACCTGTTCCACCTGCATGATAAGTTAACAAGGGGATCAAATGTTTGTAGTGGCACATTGGGAAGCAAAAGGTGATTTTAAAATATGAGATTTTAAATAAGCCCATTGCTGCTGGCCTTCATGGGAGAAAGTAGTGCTTCCCATGGAGGACAGAGAATGCATTGGTGACCCCACTTTTTCGAATCCAGGGAGGACACCGGCAAGCCTCCTCTCTGGCCTTCCTCACAGTCACTACACTGAAGCAAGGGGGTGACTGTTATTGCTCTCCAAAATGGCCAGTTGAGCTAGAAAGGGAACCTCGGATCTTAGTCACTTCTAATTTCTCTAGAATTCCTGTGTCTCTGGCATCAACCAGGTCTTTCTGACCTGTTTTGAGATAAAAAACATCCTCGGGATATAAATACAATCCCTAAGTGACTTGAAAATACTTTCAAAAATGGTTTTGGAGGAAAATAGGAGGGAGGATATGGCTCTACAGAGTTGGCTCAACCTCTCTGTGAGCCAATAATAGAAAGATTTTTGTATCATTGATCTATAAAGATGTCCAGAGAGGTGGCTGGCAGCCAGGACCTATCTGGGCTCCTCACAGCTCAGCTTCCTGTCCCTCCTTGAGGCTGCATGGAAGGGTGCTGGGCAGGGGCCTCCCAGAGGAGTGCTTCCTGCAGCCTCGGGAGCTCAGAGACATGACATCTGTCCCCCTCCCAGGTGACCGGCTCCTGCAGGTGGACGGAGTGAGTCTGTGTGGCCTCACCCACAAGCAGGCTGTGCAGTGCCTCAAGGGTTCTGGGCAGGTGAGTGCACCATTATTGGGAGCTGTTCTTCTTCCTTCCAGAGCTTTCCTGGACAACATCAGAAGCTGCAGTTGCTTCTGGGTGGGAGGCAGACAGGCAGGAAACCAAACAAGACTTTCTTCTTTGTCTTTTTGTTCTCTTTCACTTCTTCACTTTTCTATGGTGATGTGAAAGCCAGGAGGAAGCAGAAAGATTTCCCAAGCGGAATACCTCACCCCTGCAAAGACCCTTGAAAAACTTGCTTTTCCCTTGCTGAGATTCTAGAATCAGAGAGCTTAACAGAGCTGATGTGCTGGAGCGACTTCTTGCGCCTCGCTCTGGCTGCCCTCTCACACTCTCCGCTCCAGCCTGAGCTGACCAGTGCTTCCATCGGCTCTCAGGACCTGTTACCAGCTGGCCTTTGCACTTGTAGGCACCCTCTTCCCAGTTCATGCTATTCCCATCACCCTGGGTAAATTCAGGCCACATTGTCCTGGGATTCTTTTCCCAGTGAAGTAGAAATTCAAGACACCCTGAGCCAAAGGCATGAAGCCGTTATTCTATGCAGCGCCCAAACAGCATGTGGATGTTACCATGCTGTGTTCAGTTCTCGTCCTGAAGGTCGGAGCCTTTACATGTCTCAGTGTGTAAGCCACAGAGCTGGCGTTGCCCTCTAAGTAACTGGGGAGTTGGCAGAGAGAGGAAGGACTCCTGTGGCCCTTCTGGCAAACTGAGGGAGCAGAAGGGCCCCTGCTTGCTTCCTTTCCAAAAGCAGTCTTCTGGTTTGTAGTGCAATTAACTTATGCTGGTGATCTTGGTTGACCTAACTTGAGGACAGAGTCATAATTTATTAGTACTCTCTGTTAGACTTTTTCTAATGAACGTGATTAGAAAAGGTACTTCTTGCTTGCTGCTGGCATCTTGCTGGCAGCGATAACAGGTAGGAATTGTCACTCTGGGATCACGGGCTTGGTGCTGAATGACAATGGCAACAGAAGGAATGTTAGCAGGGCCAAGGCCCCTGAATGGAAGCTTGGCATTTCTAAAAAGCTTCCAGGTGATGTCCAGCCACTGGTTCCTGAAATATGCTTTGTGTAACAAGAGTAAAGAGTGTGTCAGGAGGAAGGATGGGAAATCAAACCAGAAAGAAAAGGGAGGCCAGATTGGCAGAGGTTGAGGATACCCTGCTGGGGGTTTGGACTCTAGGTGATGGGAATCATTGGAAACTTTTTTTTTTAATATGAAATTTATTGTCAAATTTGTTTCCATACAACACCCAGTGCTCATCCCAACAGGTGCCCTCTTCAATACCCATCACCCACCCTCCCCTCCCTCCCACCCCCCATCAGCCCTCAGTTTGTTCTCAGTTTTTAAGAGTCTCTTATGGTTTGGCTCCCTTCCTCTCTAACCTTTTTTTTTTTTCCTTCCCCTCCCCCATAGTCTTCTGTTAGTGAAAACATATGATATCCGTCTTTCTCTGTATAACTTATTTCACTTAGCATAACACTCTCCAGTTCCATCCACGTTGCTACAAAAGGCCATATTTCATTCTATCTCATTACCAGGTAATATTCCATTGTGTATATAAACCACAATTTCTTTATCCATTCATCAGTTGATGGACATTTAGGCTCTTTCCATAATTTGGCTATTGTTGAGAGTGCTGCTATAAACATTGGGGTACAAGTGCCCTTATGCATCAGCACTCCTGTATCTCTTGGGTAAATTCCTAGCAGTGCTATAGCAGATCATAGGGTAGATCTATTTTTCATTTTTTGAGGAACCTCCACACTGTTTTCCAGAGCGGCTGCACCAGTTTTCATTCCCACCAACAATGCAAAAGAGATCCTCTTTTTCCGCATCCTTGCCAACATCTGTTGTTGCCTGAGTTGTTAATGTTAGCCGTTCTGACAGGTGTAAGGTGGTATCTCATTGTGGTTTTGATTTGTATTTCCCTGATGAGGTGTGATGTTGAGCATCTTTTCATGTGCCCGTTGGCCATCTGGATGTCTTCTTTAGAGAAGTGTCTATTCATCTTTTCTGCCCATTTCTTCACTGGATTATTTGTTTTTTGGGTGTGGAGTTTGGTGAGTTCTTTATAGATTTTGGTACTAGCCCTTTATCCGATATGTCATTTTCAAATATCTTTTGATCAAGAGTGTTGCACGCTGCTGGTGGGAATGCAAACTGGTGCAGCCACTCTGGAAAACAGCATGGAGGTTCCTCAAAAAACTAAAAATAGAACTACCCTACCACCCAGCAATTGGATTACTAGGTATTTATCCAAGGGATACAGGTGTGCTGTTTTGAAGGGGCACATGCACCCCAATGTTTATAGCAGTGCTATCCACAATAGCCAAAGTATGGAAAGAGTCCAAATGTCCATCGATGGATGAATGGATAAAGAAGATGTGGTATATCTATACAATGGAGTATTACGGGGCAATCAAAAAGCATGAAATCTTGCCATATGCAACCAAGTGGTTGGAACTGGAGGGTCTTATGCTAAGCAAAATTAGTCAGTCAGAGAAAGATAAATATCATATGACTTTACTCATATGAGGAATTTAATATATAAAACAGATGAACATAAGGGAAGGGAAGTAAAAATAATATAAAAACAGGGAGGGGGACAAAACATAAGAGACTCTTAAATATAGAGAACAAACTGAGGGTTGCTGGAGGGGTTGTGAGAGGGGAGTTGGGCTAAATGGGGAAGGGGCATTAAGGAATCTACTCCTGAAATCATTGTTGCACTATATGCTAACTAACTTGGGTGTAAGTTAAAAAAAAAAAGTGTTACATGTTCAGTTTGTGTCTTAGATCAATCCATGGGTAGCCAAGGGCAGAATGGACTGAGGAGGAGAAGATAGGGTCCAGGAAGCCAAGTTAGCTGGAGCTTTGCCACAGTTCAGCTGGGCATTGGCAATAGGGGAGGAAGTGGGGGAGGGGGAGCCCTGGGGGGAGATGTTTCTGATGGTGAACAGGCAAGTCTTAGAAAGCAGATGGACATTTGGAGGGTGGAAGGGGGCAAGCTGGATCACTGCAAGTGTGGCCTCTAGGAAATTAATTGAGGGATGGTTCCATGTTCTGAGAAAGCAGGTGCAGGAGGAGGAATGTTTTAGGCAGTATGGGGAGAGGGTAGTGAGGATGTGAGAGAGGAAGAAGATGAATGTGGCCTTGAATGCACAGAAATGGAGGTACATGTGTTACCTCCAGGAACATTTGTCTAACAGGCACTGGAAAATATGGCTCTGGATCCTAACAAGGAGGCTAGATTGAAGATTTTCATTTGAGATTCAAATGAAGCAGCTGGTGGAAGTATCAGAAAATTAAGAAGCAATTGCAGGGCGAAGGGAGAGCCTCCTGGTGGCTATATGAAGTGTAAACTGAGCTTGTCCACCCATCTTCTAGGTTGCAAGACTGGTCTTAGAGAGAAGAGGCCCCAGGACCACACAGCAGTGTCCTTCTGTTAATGGCAGGATGGCAGACGGATGCACGGCTGTTTCCTTGGCAACAGCCTTGCCCGGCAGGCCTGCGAGCTGTGTCTCAGCGACAGATGGTGAGAGAAGAGAGAATTGAGTGTTACTATTGTTATGTCATCCTGTGCTGCCTTTGAATTCTCTACTCAAAAGACAGAGCAGGAAGGCTTCCTCTGGGTTCTCAAAGGACAGTGAGCACGATGTGGCTGGCTTTCGGATGCAGTGGAAGCCAATCTGATGGAATATGTTTCTGGGAAAAAAAAATACATTGTCCCCAAACAATTGCTAGGCATAATTCTCCCCAAGTTTTCCGAGGTTTCTTGATCAGCTGCCCGAATGCTTGTGTGTAAATATGTAGGAATGAAATTGGAATGAAAGGGTCATGCATTTCCTGACCAGATCTCCACATTCCAGCCAAGATATTTGTAACAAAAGATCTGGGGAATGATGAGGCAGGCTGGGAGAGGAAGGTGCTCAGAAATCTAACCTTACTATTAGCATCATTTAAAACCGTAAACCTCCATAGGTTTGCAGGGACATCATTTGCATATCTTCTGAGAGGTGGCCTCTTTGCACTTCCCTGGTGACTTTGTTTCCTGCTAGGAAAACATGTATTTCTTTTGTATTTCATGATTTGGAGCTTAGCCATTTTTCAATCCCTTCACGGAGATTTTCCTGAAGGTGTAAGTCAGGTTGAATATAAGGTAGCCATAGTGAGTGATGGGGTTGGGTGGAGGGGGACACGTGTGCATAAGATGAGTCTGTTTCCTTTTTCATTGCTCCTCTGCTCACTCAAATGAGGCCCTTTGACAAACTGACTATCAGATGAGGGGAGGGGCCTAATGGCAGTGATGGTGAAGTTGGTCGCACAATACACCTGAACCTAAAAGCATTAGATGCTTTCATTCTTGCCCCAAATTAAGGTTTACCAGCCAGTGCTCTGTCCTATTGATCGATTGCCGACTGAGTTGAAGGCAGACCAGTAGAGACCCAGAGACCTCTTTTGCTGTTAGACTATGGAGGTTCCTGAGGCTGTGTCCCTCTTTGGTGCCCAGAGGTAGCTGTTTTGTCTTATGGTCCATCCACATGGCTGAACAAAACAGCAGCTAAAAAATTTCCACAGAGTTTACCATAATTTTCTCCATGGTCTAGTGATCAAAATTTTGTTTCAAGTGTGCTAAAAGTGATTGAGGTTCTAAAGGAGTGGTAGGAATATATATGATATATGTTTTACTAAACGATATGGGCATATTATGTCTGTTTATAAACTATATCTTTACATATAAACTTTGCCGATTATCTAGAATTGCTTTGTCCAATATGGTAGCTACTTGCCACGTGTGGCTATTGAGTACTTGAAATATAGCCAATCCAAATTGATAAAATACATATTCAATTTTTGAAGACTTAGTTCATAAGAAGGATGCAAAATCTCTCACTAATATTTTTTCATATTGATTACATGTTGAAATGGTAATATTGTAGATATATTGGGTTAAGTATACTATATGATTAAGTTTATTTTTACCTATTTCTTCTTACTTTTTTTTAAGCTTATTTATTTTGAGAAAGAGAGGGAGAGCGAGTGTAAGTGGGAGAGGGGCAAAGAGAGGTGGGGGAGGGACAGCGAGAGAAAGGGAAACAGAGAATCCTAAGCAGGCTCTGCATTGTTAGTGTGGGGCTCAAACTCACGAACCGTAAGATTATGACCTGACCTGAAATCAAGAGTCGGACACTTAAGGGCCTGAGCCACTCAGGTGCCCCATCTTACTTTTTAAAATGTAGCTGTTCGAGAACTGAAATTACATACATGGTTCGTCATTTGCATTTGCACTTCACCTTGTTTCCATTGGACAGCACTGATCTAATGGATCTAAGTGTAACGGACTCTGTCATAAAAATTAGCAAAATGAAATCTTTTTGTGTAAAGCAGAAATAATTCTTGCCTGCTTGACAGTTTGCATTTTAAGGCTGGTCAGTTTCGTTCGTAATCTGCTGTCAGATTTACCTTGTTCGCATCCCACAATACAGGTCCTAAGTTTGAAGTCACTCTGAAAAAGAATGCCAGTGGCTTGGGATTCAGCTTCATGCAGATGGAGAGAGAGAGCTGCAGCCATCTCAAGAATGATCTGGTGAGAATTAAGAGGCTTTTCCCAGGGCAGCCGGCTGAGGAGAACGGGGCCATTGCAGTTGGTGACATTATCCTGGCCGTGAATGGAAGGCCCACAGAAGGCCTCGTCTTCCAGGTAGGAGACCATTTGGTCCTGTGTGCACACTGACCCCTCCCATGTTTCTTTCAGGCCCACCTAACATAAGGAATACCCTGGGCTCTCGAAAGTCACACCAGGGGCCTGGATCAGATAAAGAGAGCAATTGGTGGAACATTCTTACATTTAATTTTCTGTCTCAGTTCTTAAATATCTGACCTTGAGTAAGCCTTGCTTTTAATTAGGTTTATAATGGAAGTGAAGATAAAACCCTGGCTCTGTGCTGGCTAAAGCACACCTAAAATTCCAGAAGGGGGATATATGGGCTGAAGAGATTACAGTAGGTCCTTTTCTGCCCTTCCTCACATTTCTCTTTTAAATTTACAGTTTTTGATGTGTCGTGTTGCATTGGTTGTCCTGTATGTGATCAAAAATGTAATTAAAAGAAGAGAGAGAGTGAAAAATGGACACTTCTCTTAATCTCAATGAAATATTATGCATATGCACAAAATCTCAATGAAGTATTATGCATATCAGTCAGGGTCCTGGCCGGAAATTGAGTCACTTGAGGAGAGTTTAATAAAGGTGTGAGCTGGTTGTTAAGAAGCTCAAGGGAGAGTATAGAGCCCTGGGGCTGGGAACAATGGGTGCAGTTTCCCCGTCCACCCCTCTCAAGTCCAAAGGCATATGGGAAGGAGCAATTATACAACCCGGGAAACTGAGAGAGCTGGTGAAGTGGACGTGGTGACATGAGCTGTGATACTAGGTGGCAGACCCAGCCATTCTGCACAGCCCCATGGGGAGGAAGACAGAAAAACAGACATCCACCTCCCTTCTCTTCTGCCGCTGATCCTGCCCATGCTCCCATTGGCTGAGCCCAACAGGAAGTACCTCCCTCTCCTCATGTCTCTGATCCCCGCCCATGCTCCCATTGGCTGAGCCCAACAGGAATCGTGGCTGCAGTCTGCACAGGCCCACCTCCAGAGCACAGAGCAAGGTGGATTAGTCACTCTGGACCGGGTTGTGAGAGGTGGGGAATCTTCGGGACAGCGTATGTTTGGGTGGTGATACCTTCATCTATCTAGTGTGGGAGCCAACTGTTTTGAGAGAACCAGTGCTGGGTCAGCAGCTCTCTGAGGAACTAAAGACACAGAGGCGGG